ACTTTTTAGATGTCATATTTGGAATATATAAATGTCTAAATATTACTCAATAATCAGAGTATTTGTTGTGACATTATTTAACATAGTTAGGTTGTGAAAACTAATTTTGTGCGTATGAACTACTTTTTTAATTTTATTTTTATAAATAATGTTTGTGATTTTTACCTTAAATCATACTACATCCGTTCTAATTTGTTTTGCAAAATCAACATTTTTTTATGTGCTAATGTTAAACTACGCATGCTACTACAAGACACCGACTAAGTAATATTTTTTTGTAGATTACCTATTCATGTAGGCATGACTATAAATTTTATACAATATACTTGCCTATATTTTCTTGGAGGGGAGCAACCTAACTATACCGTGCACAATGTGAGGTGAAAAGGTTGAGTACGTTGGGGGGGGATAGAAGTAATTTCAAGCTACCTTTTATAATTGTTACATGATTGGGGCTTACTAACACATGTAATGGTAACTTATTAATACAATTCTTATTTAAAAATGTTAATATATGATATATTAAACAACACATGCTTTATTTTTTACAAGGTGAAACATATGTGACTGTTTTTTTTTTTAAATTAAAATAGCATTATTGTTCTTAATGGAAAGGACAAATGGTGCATTGAGCTGAGTTTCGAGAAAGGTAAGGACAATAAAAGAAATTAGATCTATTTTAAAAAATATAATATTTAAATAATATATCACTATATTTTATTGATTATTTAGGATCCTAAAAGAGCATCCAAACTCATCAGATCTCGCTCGCTAAGTCTTACCCACACTTCTTACAAGAAAAGGTGTTATGAAGACTTATTGTTAAAAGTTTAGTTTATGCCTCTAAAATAGTTGCTAAATTGATCATGTTTAAAGAGCTAGGTAGCTCTATGACTACATCAATTTTATGAATACAAGATTTGTTAATCATTTGTATCAAATATACTATTTTCTGATAAGGTTGGGAAGCATATTGGTTTGGAAAGTATTATGTCATCAAACACAGACCCCTTCCATGCAAATGTGTAGACAACCCAGTTTGCTAATAGCACATCAATGTTTGGATTGCCTAATCATGCATATTCTTCATTTAAAACTCAGAGCACCGATAATGTTTTTGAGAAATATTGATTAGAAGGAGTAGAGAGGTCTTAAGATACTTCTTCGTTCAAAAGAAAGAGGGTTCTCCACCAAGACTGTTAGTGCTTTTTATAAGGAGTTTTTTCAAAACCTAACCATGTGGTATCTTATCATCACTACAAAAAAACATCGAAATAGGCACGGACTTGGCACGGATTGGGCGAGTTTGGCACGGACTGTAACTTATTTTTGGCACAGCGCCGTGCCAAATAGCTGGTGACAAAACAACTTTGGCACGGATTTAACGCATCCGTGCCAAATCCGTGCCAAATACCCTACGAATTTTGGCATATCCGTGCCAAAGCTCCGTGCCAAATCCGTGCCGAAATCGTTGTTTTTTTGTAGTGCATGTTTTGTACACGATTAACCATGTGGTACACGATTAACATGTTGTGTACAATATCAATATTTTATTGCTTCTTTTTTTATTAAAATACCATTCAAAGTAAAGAAATTTTTATACGAGGTGAAACAATATATTACTTACATATATAAGAATATATATTTCAAATGGTTCTAACAACCTCACTATGCACCCGGGGCAACGCCCGGGTAAAACACTAGTGGAAACTAATAATCCAACCTTTTAGAGGTATTCTTTCAATAATCCCACCTTTTGATTAGTCATGAATAATCCAACCTTTGCACCTCATCTTCATTCATTGGTCCCTGGTCGGTTAATGACCTACTATTCCAAGTTATTTTCTTAACTTTCCAAAATATTATCTTTGTGAAAGATGAGATTTATGGTATAATGATTTGCAAAGATAAGAAAATAGCTTGGAATAGCAAGTCATCAACCGGTCAGGGACCAGTGAATGAAGATGAGGTGCAAAGGTTGGATTATTCATGAATAATCAAAAGGTGATATTATTGAAAGAAGACCGCTAAAAGGTTGGATTATTAGTTTCTATTTTCCCTATAAAAAATGAGTTTTATCTTATACTCAAATGAGTATAATATTTACACGGAATGTACATCGATATAACATTTTAAGATAAACACTATTACAACTGACTATTCAACAAAGATGTTTTGATGCTCCATTGGTTTTGAAATTTTTATGATCAATTGCAGAGTTACAAATTTCAATATATGAGACTTGATGCTCAATGAAAATGTCTTGATGTTCAACGAGCAAAGTTTACTATTTTCATATGAATGCATATTTCAAAAGTTTAATATTAAATTAGATTCGTATATTGAAAACCATAGGATTTGATTATAAATATAATTGAAGAAATTTTTATAAAAGAAAAACTAAGAAAAAGAAAGTGAATTAGAAGATATGAAACATAGATCGAGATGCTTATTGTTTGACTCATACTTAGGGTTGAGCAAAACCCGAACCGACCCGCAAAACCCGAAGTTTTTTCAGATAATATCCGAACCGAAACAGATATCCGACCCGAAAAACCCGAAACCGAAAATCTGATTAGTATTGGGCCTAGATCCGGTGGCGGGTAAGGTTTGTAAAATCCCGACCCGCCCAAATGTCCGAAATATATTAAATAATTTAATGTGTACTTTGAAAATGTTAAATTAATACTTGTGTTCAATTATTTGTGTAATTATTTGTACAATTTGTGTTAAATTATTTTTGTAATTTGAATGTGTAGTGCACTAGTGTGTACAATTTTTGTCAAAGTGACATTCCAACACTTTAATTATTCAATTATAATGTGTTTTAATATAACCGAAATATTCGAAATATATTAAATTATGTAGTGTGTACTTTGAATATGTCAAATTAATACTTGTGTTTAATTATTTGTGTAATTATTTATGCAATTTGTATTAAATTATTTGCGTAATTTGAATGTTTAGTGCACTAGTTTGTAGAATTTTTGTCAAAGTAACATTCAAACACTTTAATTATCCAATTATATATATTTTTAATATAACCGAAATATCCGGAACCCGATTTGATATCTGATAATATCCGACTTAGAAATATCCGAAAACCCCGTTTTGAAATATCAAAGGGTCGGGTCTAGTATTTAACTTAAAAAAACCGCACGGGTTTAGGGTACGAAGACCCGACCCACCCGAACCCGACCCGTGCTCAACCCTACTCCTAATACTCAATAGAATAGGTCAGATATTCACTAAAAAATACATTCATCCTCATTTAGCGAAAGCCGCAATTTTCACTGAAATTACAAAAATACCACCGGCTTCACAGTGTCCACCGTACACCCGGTGGTAGCCTGGTAGGGGTGGATTCGGGTCGGGCCACCCGGCCCGTGGACCGGCCCGACCCGCTACTGTGCGGGACCGGGACCGGCTCGGTTCTCGGGTCCGGGTCGGGCCTAGGCCCAGGGGGCGGGTCCGGGCTCAGGTCTTACATTTGGCGAACCGGCCCGGCCGGGTTGGGCCCGAGTCCGGGCCAAATTGATTTTTTTTTTCATTTTTTGTGGTTCCACCTGGGTTGGCCTTGATGGTTAGGAGGGGTTGGGGGGGGGGGGGGGTAAGGAAAGCAAAAAAAAAAATAGAGGCCTGGCCTGGACCCGGATCGGACCCGGTGGATACCCGGGCCGGTCCCGGGTCCACCAATTCTGAACCCGCCAGCCCGAGTCCAGGCCTACCCGGTGGTACGATATAGGCTTCCCAAATAAACACCATATTAGGGTTGAGCAGTTTGAGCTAGTAATTAAAAATGAAAATTAAAAGTTAAACATATGTCAATATATAAATAAGTAAATAAATAAACATAATAGGCCACAATATACGCATACATCCGTATATATATACGGATAAACATTGCACACGACATTCCAACCGATGAATCAAAAACGCGATGACATTTTTCAAAATAAATCAAAGTTTTCCTTATTTTCAAAAATTGAAGTTCTATGTGTTGTAAATGACCAAAAGTGCACCTCACATGATCAAAAGTGAAGACGTTGACACTTTGTACAGAAAGATTGTTTCTTTACTATAAGCAGACCCTATATATAGATATAGAAATGTTCCTATAGTGAATTTCCTGACCGGCACGTCATCTAGCCACCTCCATCTGAGATACTTCCGTGTGGAAATTTTTTATAAAATTTTGTGAGCATGTTTTTCATGAAATCTAAATTATGTCCACCAAATTTCAGCTAAAAAGTCAAATGAAAAGTCAATTAATAAATGCATTTTTAGATGTATAAGTATATAAATAAGGCACTTTTATTACTCAATAAGTAATACTTCCTCAGTCCATTAAAATTCTTCTCACCTTCCTTTTTGGGGCTTCCCAAAAATTCTTCACATTTTTCTTTGAAAAGTTGTGTCCGGCTAATATTCATTTATTTTTTTCTTACTCAATCACAAACACACATTTCCACTTGATTCTCGACTTCTTAAACTACGATCCAAGTCGAACCAGGAAGAATTTTAATGGATGGAGGTATGGATGGGATCGGTCCGGTCTGGGTCGGATTTTTGCTAAACCCAGAATTTACCCGTAAGGTCTCGGGTTATGAAAATTTGAGACCAGAACAAAGCTCATTATATTTGATCCGAGTCGGGTTTTGCCCCAGGTTCAGTCAGTCCGAGTTCGGTTGAGCCAGTTGAAGCCCAAACGTGAAACCATCTCATTTTTCTTTTATGTTTTAAAATCTGTTTTCAAATAAAATTAATAAAAAAACAAACCACAAATAATAACACAAATATTAATCTCCAAAATCACCAACAATTCAAATTCAAAGAAGATAATTATCTTAATTTATGGCTTAAGATGCATATACATAAATAATATAGGTTTTCTAAAAATATTACTAAATAAAAATTGGGGATAAAAATGTAACTAAAGTTCCTATAAATATATTTTCATGACCATTACGCTAAACAAAATTGAACGTATTTGTAGTCACTAAAAATTACCGTCATTTTTTCATCCACCATGATTATAATCATATATTAGCAATTATTTATAAATAAGATTCATATATAATATTAATTTTATATTAAAGTTAATTGTTACGGAGTTATTCAAAATAGATACATTTAATTACGACCTTACTTGCAGTTATATCTGGCGATGTCACAAGCCCCTTGGTTCAGTTGGAATTCCAAGCTAGCAGCAGACATCATTGCCCTGCTACACAAACAGAAACAATTTGATGAAGCCGAGACCCTAACAGCAGAAACACTCTCCAGATTAAGCACTGGAGGGAAGCGCGAACTGTGTATCTTCTACTGTCACCTAATTAACTCCCAATCCAAGCACAAGTCACGGGAACCAGTCCTCCATTGTTGCGCAAAGTTGAAGCGTCTCCTCCTCTCAGGCCCAACCTCACTTTACTTGAAGCAGTCTGTATACAAGTCCATGATTGAGGCCATCTGTCATATCGGTTTGCCTTCTGAATCCGAGAAGGTGAAGGAAATGAGAAGGGCATGGATCATGCTAACCAGGTTTGAGTCCATGTGTATAGTTTATGGGTATGGGATAATAGGTCAATTTGGGGAGATGATGAGGATGATTACTCAAATGGGGAGAGAAGGATTTCGGACAGAGATGGTCACTTCGAACATGGTGCTTTCATTTTTTGGAGCCCGTGGTGAGTTGTTGGAGATGGCAGCTTGGCTACAAAAGATGAAGGATTGGGGGGTGGCGTCTTCAATAAGGACTTACATCTCGGTGCTCAACAACTGCCCTAAACTAAACCTGTTGCTGTACGACAGCATAAAGAATAATGAGGATTTGCCTCGTTCCCTAGAAGAGTTAGTGGCTAACCTTAGCAGGGAAGAGTGCTCTGTGGTTCTCAATCTGGCAACAGAGAGGAAAGAGGAGTGGGGAGTGGAGTTAGATTTGCATGGTATGCATTTGGGGACAGCATATCTGATCATGCTGCTGTGGTTTGAAGAGGTTAGATCAATATGTGAAAGTGGAGATAATGATAAGCTGCCTAGCGAAAGGGTGGTGTGTGGGGTGGGAAACCACAGCGCGATTAGAGGGAAATCCCCTGTGAAGGGTTTGGTGAAGAAGATGCTGCAGCAGATGGGTTGTCCACTTAGAACGACAGCAAGAATAACAGATGCTTTATTGCCAAAGGGAGGGTTCTCAAAGACTGGATGTCATTATATAATAAAAGGCCGGCGATGAATCCAAATTTTGTTTCAAATATCATGCACGTCCAAAAAGGCATATTAGACATTAATTGTGCCATGAGAAATAGACCAAAATTATGAGAGAGCAATGAATCCAACTTCTCGACAACGTGCACTGTCAATCCTTGTTAGGAATCTGCCTATTTAGTATTTTAATAGGGTATTTGAATGGAGAAATAAAATGGGCTGAGGTTTATTAAGTGGGCTGGGGTCATTTAATGAGTCTGTTTATCTATTTTAGTCCCTGTGTGGACCTACTACTATAAATAGTAAGTTGGGTAGCTAATAATAGGTAGACTATTATTTTGATTCTCGGTTGCCTTGTTGCCTAAGTCCCGGTTGCCTTTGTTGCCTACGGATTATCTTCTTCATCAATAAACATCATTCCTTTATCATTCTATCAGATCTGTGTTTGGTTGTTACTGTTTGTGCTCAGATTATACCAGGTTCCTAACATTGGTATCAGAGCACTCGCTCGCTCCTGGAGACTTAATCGATCGGCACATCTCTACCGCCTAAGAGGAAAATTGATTGGCGATGCTGAGATACGAACGAACGAAGTTGGTCGCTGAGCAGAGCAGAGAACCGCGACGGTCGGAACTGGAAAAGCGCATGGAGGCGTGGGAACAGGAGATGAGGGCGATGATGTCAAACTTGGCCACAACGATGAAGGAACAGATTCAAAGCAACATCGAAGCATCTATAGCAGCAGCGATGGAGGAACAAATTCAGTCCGGGAGAAGTTCACGACCACAGCAGCAGCATCATTTGCGACAATCAGGTTGTCCAGCTTCTAACAGTTCGCAAATGCGAACTAAGTCTCCTGTAGCATCGCCAAGTTCATCGCAATTTTTTACGTCTCGGATTTCATCTCCCAGTGCATCGCGGACTTCCGCTCTCAGTTCTGTGCCGACTGTGTCGCACGTAGAAGTTCCCAGATCGCAATCAACAACTTCGTCGCTATCAGTTGTTCTGAGTTCGCAGGATTCTTCTGAGTCTCCTGCTGCGTCTCAGAGCTCCAGTTCGTCTTCGCCACTCCTATTTCACCAATCGACATCACAAACCAGTTTCCCTGGATCGCAATCGCTAACAGCTGCGTCCAGTTCGCCGTCACCAACAGCGGCATCTCCCAGTTCATTGCGAACTGTTTCTACTCGCAGGTCTTCATTTCCCTTGCAATCAGCTTCACAACGAGCCAACTCTCAACATCAACGAAAAAAGGAATCTGAGCGGCTAGCTGCGTTGGAAGGTAATTACGATCACTCTCACTCTAGTATGGGTCAGGATAGCAGAAGAGATATTCGCACAGGAAGTAAGGTTGAATTACCGTGGTTTAATGGGGATAAAGTAGACAAATGGATAGTTAAGATGGAAGAATACTTCCTACTCAAAGCTACTGCGGAAGGAAGGAAAGTTGAAATAGCAGAAGAAGCTATGGAGGAAGAGGCGTTTGACTGGTTTCAATGGTGGCAATTTCAGTCGAGAGAATATAATTGGAAGGCTCTGAAGGAAGCCATAACTAGGCATTTCCAGCCTAGTCTGAAGACAGGGAATCAGTATACACGATCGTTAAGAATTTCTCCCAGTTCGCACTCGCAAACCGTCTGTCCTAGTTCGCAGGGTTCCGCGCCAACATCTGCTCCTAGTTTACAGCCGCGAAAGGCTCTTCTCAGTTCACAAGGTTGGACGCAATCGGCTTCTCCCAGTGTGCAAGTCTCCGCATCCAGAACCATCAACCTCGTAGAATCTGGAAAGTGTTTGTCGGTTGCACCATCAGCCCCGGAACCGGAGCAGGACGATGATCCTATGGAACTTACGGAATCTCCACCAAATATTCAGAATAATCTGAACACGCCTATGAAGGAAGACAATGGAATGCGTTCAGGTAAATTCAATCCAACCCAAGTGGATCCTCCTGCTTTATCAAAGCAATTGATGAAGGATAATTCACAGACTAGTGCATTTGAAGGATCAGTTTTCACTAATTCAGATGTCAAATCTGTGAGGGTAGAAAAGGGGAAGGTGATTACTGTTGACAGCTTGTGCGCCAGTGGGAATTTTGAAATTGGTATGAATGAGAATTGTCCTCTAGGACATATGTCTGGATCTGATATAATAAAGCTTAGGAAGAAGATGGAGGGAATCTTCAGCTCATACACTGATGCTACTGATGAACGTAACTGGAGGTCCTACCGGGAGTCCTTCCAGGCAGCTGTGATTCGAAGGGTTCAACCAGAGCTGGTTGGCTGGGAAATTTCCTCACAATTCACTTCTGAGAACTCTCAGACGGAACCTTATGCTGCACACACTATTCTGGCTGCTATTTGTGAAGAATCTGCTTATCACAACCCATCAGTTCCATCGCTCGGTTTGGAGCCTATTAGCTGGAGTCAATCATCACACATTACTTTGGAATGGCTGAACAGGTTTGTAAGCTTCAGAATTGATGACTTCACTTCCATGATGTATACTCAAAATGGGCTGGGAAAAGGATTTAATGGGAACTTTAAGGAGTTTGGTGGATATGTTAATGAAGTTGATGCTGCCTTGAGTCTGTTGATTGTCAAAGATCTCAATCTTAGTCTCTTTCCATATGACATTACCTCTGGGGAAGAGGTTAGGGGGCTGCATGCAGATTGTTTATGTGTTCAAGAGGGGACTGGAGTTTTTCACCACCCATCTCAGATGAATATTGCTGGTAAAGGGATCCAGGTACTCCATAAAAGAGATAGGGAGGGGAAAAGGAGTGACAGTGCTCACAAACTTGCTAATAGCAACTGGAGAGAGAATAGTGCTGCTTATGTTGAAGGTCAGGGCCAAGGTTTTGTGAGTGCAGGTGTTGTTTTAGTCTGGAGTGCCTTGGAAAGGAATTTGTTGGAGGATGATCCACAGAAAATTGCATTTCACGAATCAGTTTACATTGATGAGAGAGTAGTTCAAGTTTGGATGGGTGCCCTTAAAAAGGTTATAGTCTGTTTGCTATGTGATCCCTTCAGAGATAAAAACCCTCAGATTCTTTCTATTTTAGGGGAGATACTGCTGAATTATGATGAAGATCTGGGCAATCAAGTTGCTGCGGTTTTCTATGATGTGGCAGCTGAAATTACTACCAGGGCAGCTGGATTTTATCTTGCAGAACCTTTATATGATGATATTGGTTACAAAGAAGAGACTTCAAGTGTAATTCCTGGGAATTTTTATACCCGGTTTCTGCTCCTGTTTGCTGTGAAAGAGTTGATGATGAAAGTGAAGGAAGTGAAGCTCTTAGATCAGAAACCAAGGACCCCAAGGATGTACTGGGAAGGAAGAGGTTCCAGGATGAAGAGGAAGTTCAAGATCAAGGCTGTGTCTTATTACCCACCTTGAGGGCAAGGTGGTTAATTAGGGGGGAGTAATGTTAGGAATCTGCCTATTTAGTATTTTAATAGGGTATTTGAATGGAGAAATAAAATGGGCTGAGGTTTATTAAGTGGGCTGGGGTCATTTAATGAGTCTGTTTATCTATTTTAGTCCCTGTGTGGACCTACTACTATAAATAGTAAGTTGGGTAGCTAATAATAGGTAGACTATTATTTTGATTCTCGGTTGCCTTGTTGCCTAAGTCCCGGTTGCCTTTGTTGCCTACGGATTATCTTCTTCATCAATAAACATCATTCCTTTATCATTCTATCAGATCTGTGTTTGGTTGTTACTGTTTGTGCTCAGATTATACCAGGTTCCTAACAATCCTTGTCTTCAACGGCCAAATGTTGGATTTTGAGAACCAGAAAATTAGAAGAAAAAGAATTGTCATGGGAAGGAAAGAGAATAAGAGCCCATTTGGTAATTATTCAGTATATGGAATTTATTAACCAAGGTTTTTTCGCCACAACTCATGTTCTAATGACTAAACGAATAAATATGACATTTCAACCTTCAATCTTTATATTGTTTTCTTTGATTTGTTAGGTAAATATGAAGTTAATTTTTAGATAATGACACTAGATAATTCAGTAAATTCAAGTCATTCTACCAGACTTCAGCTAATACAGATAGGCCTTACCTAACGGGCTATAAATGTTTGCAAGTTGATAGAGCAATTCAGTCGTGCCTGCTGCTGCTGAACTGGTAAGCCTTAAAACCAGGGCATCCACCAAATGTACATTTTCCCAAGATTTTTGTGACACACTGCTTCAGCTATCAAGCGGCGAGCTTGTCCTTCTACGGCTAGGGGCAAAGAAGGTGCAGCTCCAACACCAACAACTACGCCTTGCAAACGTGCTTCAATGTTACTTATTGCCCTCTGCATTTTGACAGCCAAAAGTATTGCCAATAATTATCTGTTATAACACTTTTAAAGTTTTATAACAATAGTGCAATGCCAAAAATCTATGTGTACTCTGCAAATGTAGAATAACATCCCCGTTATTTCAGCATAAATTATCATTTACAATTACTCAATCCATACCTGGAAAAAGTTCATGATCTGGTTTAAGATGATAAATTTAAATACTCCCTGAATTATTATTAATAGTTCAAATTTATATATTTAGAAATTACACTAAAAATTTTATTAAATTGCAAAACGAAAACTCAAAAATGATAAAAATATTGATATGTAAAATCCCAGATTTAAGTGTTCAATTGACCGCATGAATAGTGGGTGTAATTGGTGTAAACTTTAAGGATGATTTTACTTGGACTGAAACTTTCTAGTCTTATCTGGGTCTGGTTTGTTCAAGTCAAGTTTGATCTGATCTAAATTGATTTGCTCTGCTCTGGTAGTCTGGCAGATGGTTGGTCTATGTGCATTTTACAATTGTCAAAGTCTAGCTGGTATGTTTAAGTCTGGTTTGCGTGTTTAAGTCTGGTCTGGTCTGAGACTGAAACCAGTCTATGTAAAAACATAGGACAAAGGTAGTATTTTATTTAAATGTCCCACCTCTATCATATTCCGTTAAAAAAACATGTGCGGCTCATCTTTATGTAACTCATTCACGACAACTAGTGGAGTTCGGATTAAGCAAAATTCATCATTTGCACTTCCATTTTACACCTCCATGGCCTTTTTGGAAGTAAAGCATTAAGTGCATTTTTAGTAAAACTGATATGAAAAAGCAATACTGGAGTCTGTGCTCTACTATGTCTAAGTTAGTTTTTTCTTTAGCAAAATTTACCAAAAAGAGACTGTAAAGCAAAAAAAACTCACAGCTTGCATAGATTCATAACAAAAAGTTAATTTCACAATCTAATAATAAAAGAACCGACATTTGCAGGGCAATGTTATAGCATACGACATATAATCTAAAGTGGCAATCAGAACTGCACATCAACCAATGTAGGTTCCTCTGCCTCATAGCATTTCGTTAATGGAAATAATAACTAACTGATATGGTGGAGTAAAGCATACATACTGCACATGGTGACCTCAATTCTATCTATGCGAGTGTGTGAACGGACACACATAAAATACTGTAATAGAAAAGTGAGAGGACATACACCAACCTGTGCATGAGGATTTTGAACCTCAACCCCACTGGATTTATGAGATTTAGTCCATTCTACAAGAGGATCATGGACAAAAGTCTCTAGGACACTCATCAGTGTCTCCCTGTGTGTTCTTAATACGGAAAGTGTTATCTCACATACTTTCAAGAATATCCCCTCATATCCTGTTATTCCCAGCCCATCAACCATGTTCTGCCAATTTCAATTGAATAAGTTAATACAGAAACAACAAAGCCATCATCACAAAGGTAATATTTAATAGGGAAAACTGTCAAATATGTCCTCGAACTTTCATAAAAAAGTCAATTAAGTCCTATATGAGACTCTGTCCGGTCATCGCGATTTGGGGCGGTTCCCGGTGGAATTTTTTGATGAAATTTTTTGAGCATCTTATTCATCAAGTCTAGTTTACTCATACCAAATTTCAGCTAAAAATTTAATCGGGAGCGCATTCAAATTAATTCGAGAACGCAAAAATGCGCAGTTATGTTCAAGAATTAATTTGAATGTGTTCCCGATTGAATTATTAGCTGAAATTTGGTATGAGTAAATTAGACTTGGTGAATAAGATGCTCAAAAAATTTCATCAAAAAATTCCAGCGGGAACTGCCCCAAATCGCGACGGCCGGACAGAACCTCCTATAGAAGGACTTAATTGACCTTTTTATGAAAGTTTGAGGACCTATTTGACAGTTTTCCCTATTTAATAAGTTTAAGTTTTTTTTTCTTTTTTTTTCTAATTTTGAAAACGAAGAAACGAACCGACCCACACTCCCCAGTGAGAGTAGTTAAACCCCAAAACCCCCAATAATTTAACTTGGAAAATGCCAATAAAAATAATGTTAAGGAAACCTCTGGGGCTTAGTTTGGGATTGAGGTAGCAACTGAACATTCTATATTTCTACCTTCTTGGCAAGTAGCTTCTGAAATGAAAATCATGGAGGGGAAATGTTTTGGAGAGTAAGAAGTGTTCGACATTTGATGTAAAAAAAGCAAGGTAAAATTCCAAGTCTAAAAACGGGTAAAATGCATAAATGATACCTTATCTATAGTACATGTGTTTCACTTACGTATAGTTAAGGTACATGTGTTTCACTCATCTAAAAACAAAACATTTTACGCTAGAACACATTTTGTCAAAACGCAATTTTACACTCAGATTTCTCAAAAAAAAAATACACACAATTAAGTGTCTAAAAAGAAAATAGTTTACACTAAAACGCAAAGCTCTCATATGGTGGCTTTTGTATTATGGTGGCTTTTAGTAATTCAAAACAGCTTTTGGCCAAAAATTGCCAGGGAATCCGGGATAGTGTTATGATGAAGATGAGCTTTTGCAAACGCAAGTGATCCAAATGGAGGTTCTTAATGTCTGGGGGGGGGGCTTTACCTGTGTGAGCCTGAAAGGAACAAGCTCAGGTTTCTCCAAAAGTAAGCCCTTATCAAATAAGCAACTGAAATCCACATGAACACAGTCACCTGTTGTAGAATCATACAGAATGTTTTCACCATGACGATCTCCGAGCCCCACTATGTGCCCAACCATTGACCAAACAGCAGTAGTGTGTGCAAATGCTACCCGAGCCCTAAACCAAGCAGCCGGTTCAGAAAATGTGTTTAGAAACCATTTGTGGAAAGCTGGAGGGAACATTGGAAGAATTTTGTTCTTCAAAAGTTCATCTTCAGGTATTTTTCCTTGGCATTGGTCATAGATGCGCTTAATCTGAGGATTTGTTTTCTGTCTATCAAACTTTCCACAGCTTAAATATATGTCTTGAAGAATCTGTCGAAGACCACGTGTATGTGGGACCCATTCAACCATACCACAGTCTTCTGTTAATGGGATCACTGCAAATGTGCGAATGTAAAGCTTCCTTCTCCGACTCTCAGGACTTTTAGACAGCAATCGGTTAACCATTGCATTGAATTCCATCATGCGGGCATCTTTCCTCAAGTCATCCTTTGGTTTGCAAAGGAATGGCCGTTCACTTCCATCACTTCCTAAAAGAATGATCTACAAAACCAAACAGTCATTCATTACACCTAATCTTGTAGTCACACTCTTGAATGATCCCAACAGAAACATGCTTTCCACTCTCCAGTACCCATCAATCCATGTAATCACATGGTTAAAGTTATCCATACAAGGCATCTTTGATATTATGTGATGCTTCAACCTATTACTTTGGCGATGTTATGCGAAGGTTATTTGATTTGATTATGAATATTCTTGAATTTAATGAATGTTTTCATTATTTAGGGACATTTTTTTGTTAGAACGAAAATTAGTTTGGTGCGGAGGGAGTATAAATTCGTTTTTTGAGGTTTAAGCCCCAATGTGCAGTAAGGGTTGCGTCTTGCCTCATCTGGACAGACTGGTGCAATTTGAAATATCAGTTTAATGTATAATTCTATGTATTCTCAAATGTAATGAGTAGAGATAGGAGGTGAAAGAGTGAAAATTATAAACAAACTGTCATGCATAAGATGGAAGTGAACCATTCTAGCAAGATAATCAGTTTTAATGGGAGCAGTGGTCCTAGTGGAATTTGAAGCATCTGGAAGATCCAATGCACAGCTAACGAGTATAAAAGGCTTACTTTCTTTGGACGCTGAAGTGAAGACAGTATTTCAGCCTCGTCACTAATTCCAGATATAGTCGGAAGATCTGACAGAGAGAATGTAACACTATCAGATGGCATATGATATGAGGGTAGGTTTGCAGTGAGTGATTGTTGGGTTGGCATAATGATCTCCAGTGGCATCATCCTCTTCAAAGCGCTAAATTCAGTTGAGAGGTTGATTGTTTTTGCCTTTGGTTGACCAGCATGAAAACACAGCCTGATTAGATGATCAATCAGGGTAGCGAATTGGGTGAACAAAGAGTTCATGCCCTTGTCAGTCGATTTTCTTTTAGCAGCTTGAATAATCTCTGCAGCAGCATCCCTCCTTGAAGGAACTGTTGATTTGGTGACAGTTGCCATGATCCAAAGAGCTTGTTGGGGATACTGATGTAGAACAGAAGTAATTATGTGCTTCACCAAACGAACAGTGTCTTCATTCTGATGGCAAATTCTAGAAACAAGTTGAGGCAAAACAGTCAACCATTGATGAGGAGGCAAATCCTTTAAACAACCTCGCATGACAGTCATAACCTGCACGTGTTTTGAGATGCCTATAATAATCCAAATTAATAAAAAATAAAATTAAAGGAAAGACTCAAATTTAAAAATTAAAAGTTAAGTAATTGGTAATTAAAAAATAAAGATCTTATTCCAAGGAAACACCTTTCCATGGATGGTTTTCATGTCTCTGGAAGAGCCAGTGCTACTTTGATGGTATATGCACCCAAAGTCAAACCAAAGAGTCAATAATCTTGGAAGCGCTTGGAAAAGATTTTTCTGGCCCCTATGAAGGCCTTTAGCATAATATAACAATACCTCAGGGAGATCAGACCACCAAGATTTCTCGGCATTCAAGCTCGGAGAAGAAACGGGGTTTAAATTTGATGGCCCTACCCTGGAAAGGAGCTCCGCTTTATCCTCCTGTCTCTTCCTTGCATCAACAAGCAGTTCATCACGATATTTTGCCATATAAAAGTAACCATTTTCCCACGATGGTTGGAGTTCCTTAACCCTAGAGTATAGATTTATAACATCTTCCTTCTTCTTCTGACCAGTATAGTGTATCCACCTCGTGTATAGGAGGAGAGTTTTGGCAACATTCCTCTTCTCAATGTTCTCATTTAATGCCTGTGTACTAGAGAGTAGAGGTGGAGAGTTCAAGGGAACTAATGAAAGGCTAGTGATTGATGACATTGCTGCAGAACCAACAACTTCAACAGGCATACTAAGAAGCGTTTGTTGGAGTTCTGCTATAGCACCATCGGTTCGTCTAGTGCTCCAGAGAAGCTTTGCCTTTTCAACATTGACATTAGGTGCACCTAAAACACTGGCCTCTAAGATTGCCCTGTTTGCGGTCTCATAATGACCAGCAGATCGGCAAAGCTTAGCATACTGTATCCAGCAATTCCCAACGGAAACATTGGCACTGCTGGCACAAAAAACAAGCCTGTGGAAAGCCAATAGTGGCTCCCTTGTCCAGATCGATGGTTGAGTGAGTTTGAGTCGGTTTTCCCAGTTCTCCATTAGTTTTTGGAAGTGCGGATCAACAAGATGAAATGATTTTTCTAGGAATGATTCACCTCTGAGAAGAATGTTAAATTCCTCCAACTCCCGCAGCATGTGAAGCTTCACAACGAATGGGTATGCACGTGCATAAGAGTCCATGCCTGCAGCAGCCAAAGGACCAATTAAAGCTTGTTTGGCCAATGCGATTTTCTCATCAACAGAGAATTGATCATTCTTCATCATTGCTTGAAGAATTTTTGCAACATCCATGTCAAAAGAAGCATTACTCTCAGAGCTGCTGCAAATAAGGCCATCCTGATCAGCCCCACTGAGATACTCATCCATCAAGTCCCATCTTCCAAGCCTCCATGCAGCCTGAACACCTCGCATGCACCACATTTTCTTGTACTCAGGAACACTCATCATTAGTCCGGTTACGTAAGTAATCATGCCCTGCAAATGGTACATGTTTAGCAGGCAGTTAAGAACATCTGAATGCCTCTGAACAGGGGTAGGTTCCATTTGTAGAGCTTGCTCACATGAAGTTAGAACTTCTGCCCAGTTTCCTGCTTTCTTGTTTATCAAAAAATGATCTTGCAAGAGCTTTGACTTACGTAATGAAGCAAAACCGGACAAGCCATCCGGTTCATCCAAGCCACTATAAATTTCCATCAGGAACGAAATGTCTTCATCCTCAAAGATGCCACTCTTTTCAGAGGATGGGTTGAAAGATCCTGATTTCTCACGGACATAAGATTCGAAGTATAACAAAGACCTAGCGTAAGCATGACACCTAAAAGATGCTCTAGCAAGGGTCACTTTAGGGATTGCAGCCAAAAGCTCCGAAACGTGCTTACACTGCATGAGCATCTGCTCCATATTGTTCTGCTCCTTCAGTTTATCAGCCTGTTGCCTGGAAGTGGGTGTCTGGACCGACTGAGAGAGAGCGAGATCTTCTTCCACATCATAAACCCATTGCCCAAGATTATCAAGGAGAGTAAAAACAGCCTGAATGCAGACTTCATTATGACCTGAACTGACCCCATGGACAGCGGCATTGTTATTCTCTGATGCGGCTGCACAAAGAACAGCTAAAATTTCTTCGGTGATACCATGGCGGGCCTCCTCAGTTCCATGGCACACAGCATCCAAGACTAAATACGGCAAAAGATACATTGCAATTTGCATGTCATGACGGACTATACCACGACATGCATTGAAAATGATGGCCCGAGAACCTGTTGTATGTACAGTCAATTTTTTTATCCAGAAATATATCCATCTTCTGAATGACATAGATGGGCGATAAATGGCACCAGAAGATGCTGAATCTGACACGTTAAGAAGCTCATATTTTGAAGTCAAACAAGGAGCTATGATCTCTTTGACATAATCAGAGAACCGGTTCCACAATCTCTGACCCCTTTCATATAAATCATTGCAACTTCCAGGGCTTTTCGGATTAGATACAAGTGACTTCAGAGGTTGCTTGCACATTCTCTGTGATGTGGAAGCTGAAACATTTTTGTCAAGAGATGCCTTACAACCTGCAATCTCAAGAAGTTCTTGTATAGCCAAAGCAGCTGAGTCTTGAACAATAGTGTCTGGGGCAGCTCTGAAAGCTCTGGCTAGATGTTTGTGGATCAACTCAAAAATTAGATCATCGTCCAAACATGCAATTTTAAAGCGCATGTTTGAAAATCCCTTGATTTTTGCAGGATCTAAAGCACCTAGTGCCCCGAGACAATCAGCACAAATCAGCTTCAGCCGCTGCCCAACCATAGTTCTTGATTCTTCTGCACACCCTTTAAGTAAGGATGTAATAAAGCAGCTCATTACATCCGTGATTGGATCGCCTTCTTTAGTAATTACAGCCATGACATCCTCCCTTCTTAGGTTCAGCAGTTTACTCAACTCAGATGCCACCATATACCTCACATTCAGATTTTCATGATTAAGCCCATCAACAATGTCTAGCAATTGATCCTTTAAGTTCACTGGGCCGCGCGCTTCTTGTATTATGCTAGTCACTTTAGAAAGAGCATGAATATTGGGTAATGGAGGGAACTCATGAATATGTTCTTTTAGGATTTCTCTATTTTGGATCACAAGTTCTTCCAAAATCTCCACGACTTTAGGCGTGTGTGATGATGGTTTTTCTTTGTCTCTTTCTAAGAAGGGAACAAGAACAGCAAACAATTGAGAAATCACATGTTTGGTGCTAGATGGTGCTAGTTGCTTCACAAAATAATGGATAACAGAAAGGCCATCACCCTGGAGTGGTTCCTTATCTATAGCATGCATGAGAAGAACCATAAGTTTTGGAACGTAAGTGCTAAGATGTGAACCCATCAGATCAATAAGCATCTCAATCCGTTTAAAAGCTTGTCTCTGAAGTGATATGTCATCTGCATGAAGCATTTTCCGATAAATGCTATTAAGGAGACCAGCAAAATGATTCTTCAAAAATTCAGGAAGATCTTCATTTCCAGTCAGAATTCTTGCCACTTCTTTTATCATCTCAGGTACCCTCCTCAACCTGGGGAAAGGATTGCAAAGAAATTGCATAATTTCAGCAATGCATATAGTTATGTTACTTACAAGGAAAACGTCCTAGGAGAAATTTGTGTTCATGAAGGCCTTAAATAATAGTCCCTCCGTCCCATTTATATTGTCCCGTTTTACCTTTTCGGGAAGTCCCACTTAAATTGTCCCATACCATATTTGGCAAAGTTTGTGTGGCTCTAAATCATTCTTACTTTATTCTTACTTTATCAATTAATATCAACCACACAAACCCACTTTTCTTAATAACCGTGCCACCCTCTTCCGGGACAATATAAATGGGACGGAGGTAGTACTACACTGTCTCAAAATGAAACATTTGGGTTTGACACGATTTTAAGAGAACTAAGGACATAGTTGTTGTTTTAAAATTTTAACCTTCTAAAAGGAAAACATGTAGTATGGACCGCAAAAGTAAATTGTGAAATGATAGATATATAGTGTAAAATGAGAAAATAGCAAGTTAGAGGAGTTCAAATTAAGGAAGTGTTCATACTTTTGGAACAGGGAAAAAAGAAAAGTCGAGTTGGATCAAAGTACTTTAACACAGGTTGGGCCACATGGCCAGCAAAACTGTATCTTACAAGATGGGGCAGAGGGAGTATCCAGTACATAGCAGTGGCTACTTTCACTTAATTTTTCTATTATTGAGTCAGGAAAAGATTGATAGTTGCACCTTTTGTTTATTTCTCTGGCATCTTCATCAGTAAAACACACAAGTTCATCCAAGAGGAAGGGCAGTGTAGCAGTGAAAAGCTCTTGGTTATCAGAATTTGTTTTCTCATGGTAGAACCGAAGGACTGAGATTAAATCTTGACCATCAGCTTGATGTAGAGCATAAGCAAGTACTTTAGGAAGCCTATTAACAACAAAGGGCACCAAATCTTCATCTGAACACTTGGCTAATGCTTCCAAGGTTGTATCTACTTTATCACTGTCCCGGTGTGTGACAATGAGCTTGGGAAGAACAAAAGGAACCATCCTTTTCACAAGTACTTGAGTTCCAACATCAAGCACACCCACTGCAAACTCTTCCACTAGTTCTGGAGAGCTTACAAGCCTTGAAGACAGATAATCATACAATCTATTTCTGAGACAAGGAACTCTGGAAAGGATCAATTCAAATCCTCCTTTAAGATGGAAGTAGCAAGACCCTTTTATCAACCTTGCTGCTATTATCCTCACTGCCAAGTGAGGATTATCAAGCTTCTCAACTATCAAAATTAGGGAGGTGAAAAAGACCTGGCTCTGTATATCAACTGCATTCATAATATTTGCTGCAGCTTCTAGAAGAGTTTCTAACCCCAAGGGATCTTCAGTTGCTGATAGAGCATCTTTTAATTTTTCCAAGAACTTTTGTTCTTTGGCTTTGTTGGATGCCTCATCCAAGAACAAACAGTCCAGAATCGGTTCCTCGAGGAAAAAGCTGATCTGTGAACAGAATGCTTCTCTCACAGCCTTTCTCCTATGAAGGAGTAGGTAATCAATACACTTTAACCAGTCACACCTTGTTGTGATCAGAATACTTTTGGACACGTGGAGAAGAATTCGCTGAATCGAATCAACACAAGCAACTTGAGTGTCTTCCAGTGACTCATCATAGAGCAATTGGAAGAAGAAGGATTGCAAATTATTATAATCACAATCTGTGGCATTATCTTCTATATCATGAGTGTTGACCAAGTGTAAAAGTTCTGAATTCCATCCATTAATGAATGCATTTGTGTCACATTTTGAGCACCAAAATCTCAAACGACCATCCACTTTCAAATCTTGTATTCTGTTCTTCTGCATATATAATTTGCATTTACTTTCACATAGAGCAGTACTAGCACCATAAGATCCATAAAGGCATGCCAAACAACCAAGTGTATGGGGGATGACTCTCTTAATTTGTCCATCCATCTCTTTCCCAATAATTCTGCTCTGATCCAATAATACATGATTAATTTCTTATGATCAAACTGGCTCACTTTACAAAAAAAACATACATATTGATTCTTCTTAAAGAAAGTATCATGCAGTCCAGTCTTTGTGTCAACTAGGGATCATACTGTATTACTATGTATGCTAATCCAATGAAAATAAATGTTAGTTGTACTCACTCCAATCTCTTGAATATAGGCATTAGTAAACCAAAACCGCACCACATGACTATCATTGGCATGGAAAAGACAGCCTCTCTTCTAACTTCCTCCATTTCATCAGAAAGACCCAAATCCAAAATTTCAAGACCATTTCCATTTTGCAACAGTGGTCCTATCTTTGACAGTACTTGCAGTGAGTGGCACTTTGCCTTCCATGGTGGGAGGGAAATAATTGATGCAGAACTGGACCATGGAAGCCTTAATAATGGTTGAATGATATCTAGAAGACCACTCAAACTCTTGAGAAATGTATCATCCACAGAGGAGCCTATGTAAGAAACAAGACCCAAATAAATAAAAGGAGAATTGTATAATATGTCTTCACACTATCTCAAAAATGTCAATTATCCTCTTGCACCAAAAAGAACACCTAATTACAAAATAATTCATTAGGAAATTTTATGAGGTAAACTACAAGTAACCTGAAATTCACGAAATTCCCGAAAATATGCAGAAGGGCAGAGGTGAGTTGGAATGGCATTCAATTAAAGAGACTTTAGCTTGAGGTGGCAATGACCATAACAGGGCTGTACGAGTCAATTTTAAAATAGAATTTCAAATAAGATTGCTGGTTTATGTTTTACGAGCAAAGACCAATTATGAGATTATATGGAAGTTGAGCTCAGGGGTGACTAGGTGAGTTATTATTTAAATTGGTAGAGATGAATTAGGACCGGAACTTTATCTCATCTTCACTCTTCAGGAGGTTTCCCAAACACCATTAATGGCAATCTCAGGTCTACGACTCACAAGCTACCGAAATCTGAATGAAGGCAAAGAGGATTTGGTGTTTTCTTCTCGAACACCAACCTCAGCCTCTAGATCCGTTTCATTCATCTTCTTTTGGAAGAAAAATGAAAGGCTATGGAAAAAAGCAAAAGGCAAAGAAGAAAATAGAGATAATATGGCAACTACTTAGAGCTAACTACTAAAAGTTTCACTTGAAAGATTTTGAGATGCTCGGATACTTGATTGGGTGTTTTCCATGGGTAAATTAGTATTACTTGTTCCGTGGATTAGGCAACTACTGGTCAAAGTAAAATATTTGTCCGTGGTGGTATTTGAATTGTGACACTTAAATGACTAAAATATTGTGGCTTGAATAAAAAAACATACTCCCTCCGTCTCATTTTACTTGTCTTACTTTCCTTTTTGAGTTGTCCCAAAATAAGTGTCATATTTCCTCTTTTGGAAAGAAATGTGTGGTTCAATAGCATTTCACTTTATTATACTTAGGCTTTGTTTGCAACCACTTGTGCTTAAATAAAAACACTTTTTGGGAAAAAGTGATTAGTAGTAAAAGTTGGAAGTGTTTGGTAAAATAAGTGCTTTTTGTGTAATAGAAAAGGTAAAAAGTAGATTCTACATGAAAACCGAGATAGTAAAAGTTGGTAGTGTTTGGTAAAATAAGTGTTTTTTTCTTAAAAAAAAAAGCCAAAAACACTTATAAATAGAGTTTGCAAACAGAGCCTTAAACTTTCAACCACAACTTTTACTTTTTCAGCCACTTTATTAATAATTGTGCCAAATCAAAACAAGACACATAAAATGGGACGGAGGTAGTATCTTTCAGGTACATGCAATGAAATCTCTCATTTTACAAATATAATTATAGCTAGTGATTCGTCAATTTCATATTCTACATATTCTGAGTATCATGCAAGCTTTTGAGGGGAGGTAAGGCAAAACATGTTATGGAATATTACAAAGCAGAAGTAGTACAGTGACCAGGTTTTGTTCATTGTCCAGCACAGTAACAAGGTAAGTCCAATTAAATCATGATACCTTTTAGAACCAAAAGGTTGTTAACAGCTTCCAGTACTATAGACAAATCAATGGGTATTGGAAGTCCTTGGCTCACCTGCAGATTTAATAGTTAAGTAACATGAGCATCAAATCATCAGTCCCAGCAATAAACTTAAAAAGAAACAAGCAAAAAAGAAAAGCACACACGCACCAGACCTGTTTATGTATCCAAGGAACCCATTCATACATATGCTGTAATACTTGAAGCAAGAGAATGTTATATGGGTATTTACAGAAAACAATGCAGAGTGTGCTGAGAGCTGTCAGTGCAACTTCTGGTGAAAATGAGTTTACATCTTCTATAGGAGGTCCCAGAAGTTGCACAAACACCTTCAACGAGCTATGCATTTGGTCGGCATAGTCTTTCTCTCGTGCCGATGTAGATTCACATACAAGCTTATTTAACTCATCACATTTCATGCCAGAACCCACAAATTCACCATCAACCTTTTGAAGTTTTGCTAGGGGTGTCTCACTGCTGTTTTGAGGTCTTTTATCTCCAACTTTTGGGTTCTCAGATCGAATGGAGTTTGAGCATGATAAATACGTAGCACCATCAATAGTCATTTTTCCTCCACAAGAATCAGATTGCAGTCTAGATAAAGCAGCATCAAAACACTCTATTAATGGGATTATGGGCCTTGAAGAGTAAAGCAAATCAATAAGATATTCGGGTCTCCAGATATGAGGTGGACAATATTCAACAATACGAGAGTATGCACTGCAGAGAGCACTCTAAAAAAAACAAAAATTAATTACAAGGGTTGTCAGAATGTAACATGAACTGATAAGGTTATTACGAAAAATAATCCATGTGCAAAAGTACTAACTGGGTTAACAGAAGTAAAAAAGCAAGAAAACTAAACCAACCTTGAGATCTTGACTTCTCGTTTCAAGCAATGAATGGGGAAAGACATTTATCAAATCCACAGCAGTTGACCTGACAACATCAACTGGACAATGGGAGTGTAACAAGTGAAGGCATCCCCCCATGGATGAATCATACATGGTGTTTCTGCAACATATTGGCAGTTTAAAGTTGTGAGAAAGAATAATAAAAGAGGTCAAAAAAACATGAATACATCTTCAATGTGAGATAAAACCATCAGAATCACCACATGTTTAAACTAGTAAAGAATCCTACTAAGTTGAGTCAGCCTGCTGGGAAAATTATCAAGATGTAGACTAAAACTTTTTTTGTTAAGCTTCAAAATAAGCCCTATATGGTCTAACAGTTCTGGAAATGCTAGAAAAGTTAAACTAATCAGAGAGAAGTGTTCAGTTTGGTACCTGAAGACTGGAAGTCCTTTGCCTTCGCGTAATATATATGCAATCAGTTGTATTAATCTTTCAGCAGGAATCATCTCATAACTCAAGGTCCCAACAAGGCGTAAAAAGTCAAAACATACCTTGCATATGATTTCAATGGTCATATAAGCAGCAACGATATCAATATAGTGTTCGTATAGTTGGACATTTATAGGAAATAGAATGCTGTTGATTAAAGGAGGGAAAAGGAATGGAGAAGAAAATATGTATTTGATTGAAAGAAAGAGAGAGAAATGCAGGTAGTGAAAGTAGTTAGAAGGACAAAGTAGCTAAGTCTTGTGATTGGCATCAATTGAGGAAGGAGTTGCAAGTTTTCATCCCATATTCCCAATTTTTTAGAGCAAAATGTTTGACAGAATGAGAAGCTATTTCACCCTCAATGTCCTTTGATTCACTTCCCCTCCACTTTCATGCCTATTTAGACAAGGAAAAGTAAAATTCTCTGCCAAGCTTGGCATTTTACACAATTTGATTGGCAGACTTACCCAGTCTGTCTAATCAGGGAGCCCCTGATTGATAAAGCAGCCAATCAAAGTGCGCTATGTCATGCATGAACCACCCCATCAGGAATATTTGTAGTACTACAAGCAATATAAATGTAAGATGTAGTCAAACAACCAACCATGTGCAGGTCAGTATCTCCAGAGCACAAAAGCTTGCAGACTACCCAGACAAAAGAGGTATTCAAGAGTCCTTCAACATAAAGAGTTCCTTCAGTTAAGCATTGAGAAAGGAACTTGATAGCAAAAGAAGCAAAAGGTTGACATCTTTCTTTCCCGGTAAGATCAATCAGCATGCTGCAACTATCATCTGCTTTACAGCACCGAGGAAGATTGCAGAAAATTGATGGATCATCCCAAAATCGAGAAAATGATTCCCGGAAACACTTCAAGGACACTGTCCTTGATCCTTTATTGCATTTCCAGTCTATAACTAAAGCCACATCTGCAAGATCTACAAGAAGACAGAAGAGGATAACAAATTAGCATTTTCTTAGAGTTCATTTTCAACACACTCGAAATGAGTTTTTTTTAAAATGAACCATGCTTCATGCTAATAATATTACACAAGTGTGGGACTCATTTCACATTTATAGTAATGTAAAGCGTAGAATACCTTCAACCATTGACATTGCATCCATAAAAAATTGGCGATATGCATCTCGGTCCCCACCACGAAGCACCGACAACAAGGATACAAGTGTTTCAAATATCACCCCATGTTGATCCCTAAAAGGTGGAAATAGTTTTAATTTGGAAACAATTCCAAATATATAACCAAAATATAAGTAGTGGACAAAAATGTGATGTTGGTAACTTAAGTGACTAATTGTATTCAAATGTTACATCATAGTGACTATAAAACTTACACATAGTAACTTATAATCACTTTTTTGTCCATAAGTTTTAAATTAGTAATATTTTAGGAAAAAACTCTTTAATTTGTGAAAGTAAATGATAAGTAAGAGCTCAATTTTATCATTCCTAAAAAAAATTAGAGTCTGAAGAGATAGTTCCAATGGGTATATTTCAATTTTATAACATGGTAAGCGGCCAGCTACATTAAAAGAACAAAACCAAAATCTCAGAAAGGAACTGATACATTTGCATAAACCAGATACTTAAATTCCAAAACGGAACAAATAAAAAAAGAACAAAAGGCTTGCGTTGAGTGACTCACTGAAATGCAGGTTCGGCAAAGAAAGGTAGTATGCGACCAATCACCGGCAACACGGCTGCGGGGTTGCCGTGATAAAACACTCCCGGGTAGTTGGTGGCCACATGTGCGGAGAGTTTTAGTATGGCAACGACCTCTCTCTGTTTGTCTAGACGAGAAGTCCAAATAAACAACTGTTAAGTAACAGAAATTACTTTACATATATTCGATAACTTAGAATGAGAGGTGTGGTCTGGTAACAGAAAATAGACCTGCGGAGGAAGAGGACGGGACAACATAGGTGTGGAGGAGATTGGGGAGAACGCCGCGGAAGAGAACCACTAAATCTTCGTCGTTTTCCTGGTTCCGCGGCCTGGCTATGCGTTCACGGAGTTGGAGCAGAAGGCTTGAGAAGTTCGCCATAGCTACTGCTCAGACCACATTGCTCACTCTTTTTCCCTCCTAGTTCGAATTCTGGTGCTGTTTCCGCCTTCGGGGTTTAATAAAGGAAAACTCCCTAACTTTCCAAAAAAATCAATTAGACCCCCCAACTGAAAATTTGTCCAATTAAACCCTATTTATAAGTGTCAAAACCTCTATTTAGCCGGTAATGAAAATATTAACAGGTTATTTGGTACATGTGGCAGCCACTGCTTTTCCCTTCTCTTTTTTATTTTCTCTTCCTTCTCCTCCCACATTTCACGCAGCCCATTCCACCTCTATTTCTGCTTCCTGCCAAAGCTTTTCATTTTCTTTGTTTTCTTGCTTGCTTTATTGCTCTCTTGCCCCTTTCTTTCTGTTCCCTCTACATCATTCTTCCCCTGGATTAAAACTTTGATTTGTTCCGGTTTGAATTCCCAATCCACAGTTTCTTGTCTTCACCAACTGATAGCGCAACCCAATTTCACTGCCGCTCATAGCCCTGAACTTCCCCAACACAAGCCAAATAAGCAATTTAAATGATTTTTAACCCTGGATTGAAACTTGGGTTTCCGACTTGAATTCCGGCAAATGAAGCTAGTAGATCCGGCTTGAATTGGCGATTCTAATTGATGGAGACCGACGGATTTCTACAGTTCCAGGCTGCATCTACCATGGCGTGGAGGAGAGAGCGAGACACCGCCACACTGGGGATGGGCTACTGAGATAGGATCGGAGACGATGACTTCCGCTGGTCAGCCGCAACGGTGCATCCATTCGGTCAGCCACTGCGGTCCGTCCATCTGGTTACACACGACGGAATCTATCCGTCTGGTCTGTGTGGAGCATCCGCTTGAGAGACCTAAGGGAACGGGGGAGACAGGAGGGACACAAAAGGAAATTAAAAATGAAAAGAAAAAGGGAAAACAGTGAAAAGAGCCATGTGGGGCTGCCACGTGTACAAATGACCGGTTAATATTTTCATTACCGGCTAAACAGAGGTTTTGACACTTTTAAATGAGTTCAATGGTCTAATTGGATGAAATTTTAGTTGGGGGGCATGATTGATTTTTTTTAAAAGTTAGGGGGTTTATTTGATAGTTTTCCCTTTAATAAGTGAAACTCGGTGGTTATTGAACTGCAATTCGAGATTTTTGCTAATCGAGCAATAATGCACTTCTAATGAGAATAGTGAAATTAGTTAGAAAAGAAAAAAAAACATAATGAGGCTCTGTTTGCAAGTGATTGTGCTTAAATAAAAGCACTTTTTGGGAAAAAGTGATTAGTAGTAAAAGTTGGTAGTGTTTGGTAAAATAAGTGCTTTTTGTGTAATAGAAAAAGTAAAAAGTAGATTCTACACGAAAACCGAGAAAGTAAAAGTTGGTATTGTTTGATAAAATAAGTGCTTTTTTCTTTAAAAAAACCAAAAGCACTTTAATTAATTGTTTGCAAACAAAGCCCGAGAGTTCTTCTAAAAACTAGGTCTGGGTTAGAAATAAGTTAGAAGAAGTCTACGACTTCAAAAAAACTAGTGAAGTTATATACAAGTTCTTTATTTAATTGTAACATTGGTTAGTATTGAGGTGGCCGTGTCTAGGGTTTCTCCTAGCTGGAATTGTACGACGGTGACGGTGGTTGCCGGTCGGATCGTTTGTTCTTCTTCGAAAGAATCCAGTGCGGCTGAAGGTTGTCAGTGATCGATGTGAGTGGATCGATTCGGTTCCATCATCGGCTTTTAGTTACGTTGGTTTTTACCGAAGCATTCCGTGGGTAGACTTGGTGCTCCAATTTTCCGATGAAGACTGCGGTGATCGATTTTTCGTCGGTCAAGGAGGAGGAGGAGGACTGCATCGCCCTGGATTCGCGTCCATTCTCTAGGGTTTCACCGCTAGAGTTTTATTTGTCCGCTATCGTCTTTTGGCGAGGAGTGGTACCGTCTTCCGGCAATTCGTTTCTGGATAGGGAGATTCGGCTGGAGGTGTCTAAAGGGCCGGTCAAGGCGATAAAGAAAGAAGATGAAGTGAAGGCGATGAAGACAGAAGATGAAGTGAAGGCGATCTGCCCCCCTCCTGAACCGCCGTCGGGGGTTCTTGGAAAGCTGATGGAAAAAATTTATTTTTTCGCTTTTAATTATTTTAATGGTCTAAAATTGTCTGTGTTTGTTTGTTGTTTTATCTCTTTCGATTGTAAGACTATGAATTTGAGTTTGAATGTGGGTGATGATCTAACTGCGATTACCGTCACTGGCTCAGTTGTGCCCATTAATGGATCAGCGAGTTATATTACCGAGGTAATTAACTCTGAGTTTGGTTCACGGGACGACGGTTTTCATAAGTTTTATTGTCGTTTTACCTACTTTCCAAATGGTTTGATATCAATGTAAGCCACTTTCATAAAAAAAAAAGGAAAGTTCCCGAAATAGGACTAAATAAGTTTGAAAATTCCAAAATAGGACTGTTACGTTTTTATTCCCAAAATAGGAGTAATTACTGTCAAGTTTGGAAAATACTGTAATCTTTAAAGTCTGGTACTGCCAAAACATGACAATAATTAATCCTATTTTGGGAATAAAAACATGTCAGTCCTATTTTTGGAATATAGAAGTGCTTTTAGTCCTATTTAGGGTAATTCCTCAAAAAAAAAACTAGTGAAATTAGTTAGAAATAAACACGGAAAGGAGACTTGTGACTTTGCAATTGACAAAACTAGGACTTATAAAATAATTTAGACGGAAAAGCTATGTAGCACCGATACCGGTACGCGGAAACGCAGAAACGCGGAAATGGGTACGGGGATACGTCAAATCCAAAAAAGGTAGGATACGGATACGAGGCCATATTTATAAATATTAAAAGTTATGGGGGTGTATTTACAAATACTAAAAGTTATAGGGGTCTATTTATAAATATTAAAAATAGATTTTTTTTAATATATATACATATAATATCCTATGATGTCTACCTATTCATTGCATTGAAGCATTTTCCTTTTTCAAGATACTTAGTAATTGTTGGGATATATTATCCCGGCCTATTACTGTTCAGGAGTCCAAGGCTTTACGTGGTACGAAGCCCAATCGGTAAGGCCCATTTTAGCCCACCAGGCCCGATATCGGCCCGTTTGGCCCATTAGGGTGGAGAGCCCCTTCTCCCCTTCTCCTATAAATAGGGAGTTTAGCCTCCATGTAAAAGATCTTTTCCTTCTTCCCCAACTCATTTACTCTCTCTAGATTAGATAATACTCCATTAATGTGAGCTCAAATTGTACTATGTAATGGTGAGGAGAGTCCTAATGAGAAAGAGAGGGCTTGGACATTAGCCTAAAAAGTCCCGTGATTTTCTCCCTTTCGGGTTTCCACGTAAAAACTGAGTGTTCATACATATATTTACTATATCGTGTTGGATTAAACTCAACACTGGCGCCGTCTGTGGGAACCTGTCCAAAAAGATTCATGTATTCTACTGTTCTTGAGTTTCTACAAAAAATTGATACGAAATATAACGATTTCAGCAAAGAACAAGAAAAAGGATTCTGAAAAGCAAAACATGAGGAAGAAGATTCTGGGAACAAGGAAGAAGAAATTCTAGAGAAAGAAAAATGATTTCAGCAAAAAGAAAGAAAAAATTCTGGAGCTTTGGCCTTGGGAAGCTCCGGATCTGAAGCAAGAATGTGGCAGCCAGCAGCACCTGCCCAATTGACCGAGCAAGAAGAAAGGAGGAGATGGTGAAGTCTGGGAGTCAAGTCGGGATTGTCCTAGAGCTGGGTTGGGGTTACCGGAGCCGCCGTCGCCATCCCCGACCGCCGTGGACCCTCCATTATGTTCACCTGCAGCCAACGAAGCCGCTAGAGCACTCCAGATCTCGCAGCACCTGCAACACAGTTGCTCACCAACCGCAGGCCACTCCTTCACCACCCTGCCGACGTGACTCGAGGTACCTCCCGTCTGGGAGTCCTGGGATTCCGGCCGTTAACGGTGGTGTATAGCTCACGGAAGGTACTAGAGACTAGCCGCTCAGGCTGTCCTTGCTCTGCCGCGACCACCATCTCTACCGGCAGAAAGTGGTCGGCAAGTACGAACTGCGTCTGGATTGGTAGGAGGGTGCTCCACCTGCCTTGTCTAAATGATAAAGAAATTATCCCAAATGGGACTAAAACATGGTTAAAACTCCAAAATAGGACTTGAAGTTTTAAATTGTTTAAATGGGACTCCAGATTACAATTTTGTCATTCTACAATTAAAACCCACATCCCCTGCAATTCATCGAACCTCTCCCCTGCAGTGCATCGATCTCCCTTCTCCAATTCATCGATCCCCCCTTCTGTAATTCATCGATCCCTCTACCCCTTCTGCAATTCATCGATCGTTCTCCCCTTCTGCACATCCCTTCCTCCCATGGAAAGCAGCTTCGCCATCGGCTATTGCCACGCACCGCAGCTCCGTCATCGACCATAGGTATCCCCCCCTTCTTCTTCTTCTTCCTCTTCTTCTTCTTCCTCCTCCTCCTCCTCCTCCTCCTCTTCTTCTTCTTCTTCTTCTTCTTCTTCTTCTATTCCACCTCAAATTTCTGGTCCTATGTCCTCTTCTTCTTTGGATTTTATGGATTTGAATTTTATTTATTAATTTAGATTTTTTGGATTTAAGTTGTATTTATTCAGTACATAAAATGTCACTCATATAATTTCAGAATGTCAAAATTGTTGGTTATTTGATGAAAAAATGTCACGTTTCTGGCATTACATTTACTTCTTTGAAACTGTCATGAAAGTGATTGTACAAACCTCCGTGAAGAATGCCACTTGATATGCGAGAATGTCACTTAATATGCATAATGACACAATAATGACAATTTCGTATAGAAATATGACATTTTCAATATGGCATTTTCAAATATTGTAATGATATAAAAGTGACATTTTTTTAAAATACCCAATGATTATGACATTCTCTCTTTCAATAGTCAAGGCATTTTGAGAATCAGAGTAATCAAAATTGATAACAAGAAATTCAAGTTTAGATATAACTTCATTTGAAACTTTCAAAAATCAAAAAATTTGTTGGTCCCGTTTAA